CCGACCGCATCCGTCAACGGCTCGCTCTCGACTAATATCGTCGTCTCTCTCGCGCCCAAATGAGCCGGCTCGACGATCGGACTAATCCTAACGGATCCAACCGGATCAATCAGGTTTTTCCCTCTGGCAGTCTTAACAATGAAGAAGCAATTCTTCTGTTGAAAACATTGTCAAACATTGCATGTTTATTGAAGGTTCATGGAGACTATGCGATGGAGACTTAGACTGTCTTACCTAGCAATGAGTGTTTGTGGTTTCAAATACGCGGTTACTAAGAGCACAGAATAAGTTCATATTAAAGCTTGTTCATTCTAAAAATCATCATCAAACATCTGAGCTTCTCTTGATTAAAATGTCAAAACCTAATCTACTCCACAGACACCCCAGACAGACTGAAATGTATTTACAATGGTTTTGAGAAGGAAAAATTTGAATTTTTTCGTATCAATTTTACTACGAAGAGAATTAATTCAAAAAATTTCTTTTTATTCGGATATAAATTAAGAAACGAAAAAAATTTCACCAAAGATTATTTTCAGCTTCGTTTGTCAAAGAAATTACTCCCGCGCGTACATTTTATCAAAAAAAATATAAAATAATATGAAAAAGCGCAAATATTCATTTCGCAATGACGGAAAAGCGAAACAAAAATTTGCATAAATTAATTACTTTTACTGTCGTTACCTGTGAGGCGCAATGGCACAAGGTAATTTTCACGACCATTAATTTAACAACTTTTCAAGGGATGGCAATTTAGGAGACACAAACCCAAACGTGGAAGGCCAAGAAAGTTTCTCATTTAAAAAAATCATCGTTTTCCTTTTGATCCTGAAATTTTTTAAACGAGATTCTTCCATTGCTTGAGAAAAGAATTTTGGATGACTTTATGTAATTGCACTGTCCTCACCTTAAAGCATGACAAAGATATTAATTAACAATTAAAATATCCTGGTAATGAAAAATCTTAAGAGAAACTAAATCCTTTTTCTAAGATTCGAGATTTCTTTTGAAAATTTTACATAATGTAAATGCAAAAGTGAGTTGAACACTTTTGTATTCATGAATCCTTTTCAGACGTTTTCAGGCAAAATTAACTTGTTAATACTAATATAAAAAAATGGTACAAAAATTACGTACTGGAACATGAATAGTTTAATTAATGAAACTTTTAAAACTTTCCCTGCTGTATACATTTTCCTTCATTTCTAGTTTAGAATATCAAAATAACCTTTGCTGGAAGTTGTTTTAAAATTAAATGTTTTAAAGCTGATTTCCTTTTTGCACTAAAATGTGGAATGCTCGAAGTAGGGTGGCGGACTATGATTCGCTTAAAATCAAGCTTTTTCTGACGCTTCACAACTTTAGTCACTTATGATTTCGCTCATATTATGTTTTGAGCGGTGTGACCTATATAAAAACAAAGCTTATGTAATGCACTTTGTTACTGATTTTTTTCGCTTTGAAAAAAGTTAATTAAATTAACTAAAATTATTAAAATGCCAAGCTATTTTTTTGGATGTTGATTCGCGTGGAAAAATCTTATTTCGTGCAAGGATTTAATCTTGATTCGTGATTTTTTTTAAAAATTAGTAGACCTTTTTATAGACCTTAACGGAAAAACCAAAAGGTAAACAAACACTTTTCTCTCTCATTTCATTAATAAAATAAGTTACATTTTCTTAATTAAACTTTTATTTTTGTAACAAATTTAAATTAAGAACATTCTAGTTCTTTTTAATGTAGAACTAAAATAA